AACCCTCTCTCATCTGCTCTCGTAACCAATGCAATCTTATTTCAATGTGTCGTGAGCGTCGTGGCACGTCCATGGATCTCACAAGTTGCAATGCGGAGCTTGAATCGCTCTCCAACCAAATCACAACTTCTTCTGGCTCATCGATCTCATGAAGTGCAAACAGAAGACGGTGAACCAGTCTTCCAAACGCAACACTTTCTTGACACACTGATTGCAAACCATAGAGCTCTGCCTCACATGAACTCAAGCTCAAAGCTTGCTGTTGTCGGCTCAGAGACCTCACCAAAGACCTCTCAAAGAAAACAGCTCCACCGCTAACACCTTTGCGGTTATTGAAACGGTACGGCGCATGTGAAGCGTCGCTGAAAGAGTGAAGATGGACTGATCTCAGTTGAGTATCGTCAACTTGACTCATGATGGTCTCATTTCTGCTCGGTAAACACAAGCATGCATGCATGTCAACATACAAGAATCTCAAGACTGCTTTCAATGCTTGTTCAGTTCCGTGCATCGGTTTTGCTTGCTGTGTCCCAAGAACAGACATCCATGTCTTCAAGTCATGACGCACCTGTGACAACCAAAGCAATTTTCCCAACGCCTTTCTGAAGCGTGAGTATGCTTCATCTGACAAAGGTTTCTGAAAGTTGCTATCCGTGAGTGTCTTCTCAAGATGTCCCGAAATGTCAGGAACATTCTCAGACCCACGAGTAACACCATAATCCAGAAACGTAGAGTCAAGATAATGTGGATCGACACCCAGAGTGATCTCAGAGGAATCTCTTTCTCTTTTGATGACACGACCAATAAAGGTCAGGGATCCTCCCTCTTCTCCGATCTCTCCAGTTGTCTTCACAGGCACTACAGACGACAAAGTTGCAACCACATGTTCTTCGGCTTCCTTAGTGGTCGACAACAACAAGATGTCATCAACATACACCACACACAAACAAAACCCAATTTCATGACCATCTTTCACAATCTGCCCACCATACACACATGGTTCCAACGAATCAGACCAAAGGCCTACATGTTCAACCGTAAATGCCAAAAGCTGCAACCATGCCAGTGAAGCATCACGTAACCCGTTCAATGCCTTTTCAAGCAAATAGTAGGTCGCTTCACCTGATGGAAAGCTAATCGACAACGGCATTTTCAAGACAACATGTACACCAGTTCCCAATGGGCTATGCGTGAAGGCATGACTCACGTCCAATGCACGCAAAAGCATCTTCCGTGTCGCTGCCATTGCAAGCACCAAATGAACACTTTCAATCGAAGGGGTAGGACTACTAAATCCCAAAGATCTAGCTGAGGAGCCACGATTGAAGTCCTTCGCAACAATCCTGGTTCGAACCCTCTCACTGCTTTTGTAAGCTGCAACCCACCTCGACTGGATCAAACGAAGGTTCGGAACAGCCTTCTTCATATCGTCCAGTTCTGACTGGGTGATGATGCGGCCAGTCTTGCAGTGTTCCAAGTTCCTAACCTCCTCTTGCATACCCTTGAAACCTTGTTCCAAGTCAAGCTCTTGCAAACACTGGTCATCTATGATACTGTCCGGTTTCCAAACCAAGACATCTTGACCTCCAAGACGCATCTTCACAAAATCATGCTCATTGCCTCGATTGAAACAAACAGAATCAAGAGAACCAGAAAACATTTCTGGAGATGTTGCCGGAGCAAAAGACGCTGGACCTTCAAGTGTACCCAAACTCGCAACCAACACAGGCTCACCACTACCAACCCAAAACCAATCAAAATCCATGTTTGTTTGAAGCAGTTCCTCAGAATCTTCACGGATCTCTCTTTCCAACTGTTCTCGGTCGGTTTCAGCTTTCCTTTTAAACCTTCTAGTGTACTCAACCTGTGTTTCCGGCTCAGGTGCACGTGGCATTTTGCAGAGAAAGGGTGTCGGGCGACTCCGGCATTTGAGTTGCAGAATCTTGTGGCTTCAGAATCTCATTGGAGTGGGAATCATCAAGTTGTCTGCAGTTTCTGGAAACACTAACCCTGCAGACATAGGCACTAAACGCCTGACAGCCAATCGTTTGCGTTCTTTGATGTCATTGCTTGGGCTGTTCAACATGAGTACCAACACAGTGGAAGGTTCAGATGACCCTGGACGCATCTTCAGCAGGAAACAGAACGTGCGTACGTTGATCAGCGCCTTGGGCCTTCTGCAGTTACAAGGTTGCAGTGATGAAAACTCTGACAGCAGCAGCAGTTGGAGATTGGTTTCAACTTTAGTCCTTGGTTTTCTGATTTTGCTTCCTTTTGTGGTGATGAAATTTACTTGCCGGCGCAGACCAGTTCCACAAGCAACTGCTGAACCTGCGCCTGAACCAGTGCCACTTTGGGAAGGAATCCATGAAGAGGACATCCCAACCTTTGAAACTACGGCAGATGTTCCAGAGCCATTCCAACAGTGGTCACCAGAAGCTTTGATTTTCTTCATGCTGAACAGGTGCCAACGCAGGCATAACGATGCTCAGACAGCAGAGCGCCGAGTCCTATACTTGCAGAGGATTGCATTGTTACGTGACTTTTTGAGAGATCTACAGAATGCAACAACTGCTCAACGGCTGCAGGCCAGCCACTTGGTGATGAACATGACAGACATCAGTGAAGATGAAGCAAGTCCTTTACATGGTGCCAATGAGACTGAACGCAATGCAGCCATCAGACATTCAGCTGATGCACTTGAAAGTGAAGACAGTGATACAGAGACTGCCTCTCAAAGACTTCGACGTTACTTTGCAAGTGAGATGGAAATTTCAGATCCAGAGGAATGGAATGCTCTACATTTCCCTGGGTCTCCAATGTCTGAGAGAGCTGAAGATACTTGAAGGGAATCCCAACGAAAGTTGATAGCTTGGTAATCTTTTAGAGATTTTGGTGAAGTGAGCTGAACGCTTCAAAGAAGCATGTGCAAGCAGCGGCACAGCAATACGCTGTCCCGGCGCCCAATCAGCAAACCACCTTTTCCGAGCTTTTCTTTTGCATGTGACTTTGTAGTGGTGCCAAATGGTTTGACAACCATGTGGCAAGGCGGGGTGCAAGTCTTTTACGGCAAGTGACATACCTGTTTTCACATGCCATTCTTGCATCCATGTTTCAAGTAGCAACAGTAATTCATTCTATGTGATCTTGAGGCGCTTCCTTTCAAGGGAAAATAAACAATCCTACACCTCAGGTTCCACAGTTCCTTTCAGAATCAACATGACATACGTGTAGATTGTTATTCTATTATGGTTGGAGGGTCATAGGGGGGGCTAGATAGGAACCGCGGCAGAAGGGTGTTTAAGTTGGATCATGTAGGTACAAAAGGGGGTTTACCATGGGGACCCCATAAAGGTTCATATGAGGTCCTTTTGAGGTCCATTTGAGTTCCATTTGAGATCTTTATTTGTATTCTATTGTTTTTCCATACGTAGGAGGTAAATTTTAAGACCTTCAACATCTAATTTTACATTTATTTGAAGTTCAAGGATTTTCCAGTAATTTGTAAAGAATAATATACCTTCTATACCTCTATGTTACATGTGGAAATGATAAAAACATGTAGAAAAAGTGTAGAATGTATTGGAAATGCCAGGCAATTGGGGGCCTACACACTTTCAGTTTGCATTTTTGATTTTCTGCAATTCTGCAGCTAGTTGCAGACCTTCACACTATTTTTTACATGTTTTTTTCATGTTCTTACATTTTTTTCAAAAATGCAATGGACAATATTCAACGCTCCCCTGCGTTTTTTAAGAAAATAAATGAAATCCCGTAAAAAATGAGGGACCTACTATATAAAATGAAATCTTGCAAATAAGACGCAGTTAAACAAATAAATGCTTGCCAGCATTCAACAGGACCACCTCCCTCAAAAACGTCTAAATTGTGTCTTGCAATTTGGGTACGCCCCCCCTCCTTAAAAGGGTAGTGATATTATATCATCATCTAGCTGTGATACATATATGTGTTATTACCTGTTCAATTCGTGACAGCCCCGTTTCTCCAACGTTTCATTGTGCCTGTTTTTGGAAACAACAAAAATCCTGCAGGGGGTTGCGGTCGTTCAGCCGAGTCCCAAGAAGGCTGGGGGTGCAACCCTACTTAAAATGGGCATGTAGCGCAGAAAAACAAAACAAAACCTGGGATGTATATAGTAACTGAGACCACAAGCCTTGAATCTTTGTTCACGTCTTCAGCTGGTGTTTCAATGTTTCGAAGTGCGTTTTCCATGAGAACTTGAGATAAGAAACGAATCTTGCTGTTGACATTTTAGAAGTCTTTCTCCAACCGCCAGTTGGGCTCGTGGGCAGGTCAGGGGTAAGAAGGCTGCAAGGAGCGGGGTGATGGGTCGATTTGGGTGGTGACGAGGCCGGATAGCCACAGTTCCTGTACCCCCACCCCACGCATCTACAAGAAAATGACTACAGTTATGGGCTCTGGTTGTTTTCTCATAGGCTGTTTTGTATGTTTTGGTTTGGTGTCATTTTCTAAGATCCTCAAAAGACACCAATACAAAAATTGTGACCGGCATCTTATATTCCTTTCTGCAGCCTAGTGCGCCAAAAATCCCAACAACCAAATAATAAAAACAACCATTGAAAGGCGTTCACGGAGATACTATGCACTTACTGAGTATTCTAGCAGGGGGATTACCGATTTTTTTTGTGCAGGCGTTGCCCTGCGCTGCTTCGTGGGCAATGGCAACATCAAACCAGAGGCTGGGCCAGATTTGAAACCAATTCTTGACTGACGGTGCGATGCATTGATCTTCTGACTTTCTGTCTGACTTGTGCATGGACATCATGGACCATTTCACGTGCGAAGTGTCTGTAGTGTACAGTAGTGTTGCTCGGCAGGAGCTGTTGCAGGAGCTGTGTGATGAGCTGTTGGGACTTCCGCGTTGCGCTGGCTCAAGCATCGTTGTAACTGCGGCTCCATAAGCGACGTGCGAGACATCCATATTTTAGAGTTTTCTCTTCAGCGATTAGGCAAAACCAATGAAGCCGCAGGTGCTCCTGTGCCTGCTGCACCTGGCAATGCCTGAGGAGGCTTCCAAGGAGGGATTGTGCGCGTCTGGAGCTTGTGATTTGTCGCAGGCTGCGGATGAATGTGCCGCCCTCCAAGTGAAGAACGTGGCCGAAAGTCAAGCTGATCCCAAGAAGAGGGTGGATGACATACTACTACCAAACATCACAACGGATTTTCTACAAGATGGCAAGGATCTACAAGGCAATGAAGGGATCCCATTCAAAATTTGGAAGATCAAAAAAATCAAAGAAGCATTGGAGGGTAGTCGTCGCCACCCTACCACTACCACTACCAGTACCAGTACCACTACCAGTACCACTATCACTACCAGTACCACTACCACTACCACTACCGCCACCACCACCACCACTACTACTTCTACTACCACCACCGCCACCACCACTACTACTTCTATTACTAGTACCATGCCACATTGCTCCAGTGGCGATTTCACCTTTGCCTTCGAGAATCTCGATCAGACAGATAATGGCAACTCCCCTGGACGTGTCACAGGTTGCATCGGAGGGCTGTCACCTTGTGGAGTCTTCAATGAGGCTACATCAGTTTATGTTGTCAGCAACACGGCCGGATACGGTCTTGGGGAGTATGTGGGCAACACCACCGGACAAAATCAATGGACCGTGAGTAATTCATGTGAAATTCCTGAGTTCAGTTTTTTCAACTTGGGAGAAGATGCCCCGGCGAACGGGAGCATTCGGTTGCAGGGCATCCCCGGTAATCGATGCGCTGGGCTTTCTACATTCTCCGACTTTGTTGTGGCTGTTTGCTCGCGTGAGGTTAAGTTTACTTTCAAGTACAATCCTTGAGGAGTCTGTGAGAGGCCAATTTTTGAAGCCTGCCGCAGCAATCTGCAGACTCATAAAGTGAAAACACATATTGCTGATGCACCCTGCTTGTCGTTTTGATTCATCTTGGGAGAGATTTCTCATGATTTATCAGTTTGACCCCGAATTTCAATGCCATCAGCCTTGATGTTTCAGTGCCATTCGTTGCATCCGCCCTGCTGCCAGGTGAGAGCACAACAGCTGCCTTTCAGCAGAGAATGGAACTGCTGTCTTGGTGTTCCTCTGCTCCTCTCCCACACAGGGGTTGTGAAAAGCCTCATAACCTCGACTTTTCGTGCCCAAATTCCTAAGATCTCTGGCAATTTCACCTTGGGATATTGATTTGTCAAGCTTTTTGGAGATGACAACGGGTCATTTCAAACGAAAGAATACGAAAGAAATATCGCTACCGATCCTGCCACATATCTTGCAGATCGCTTCATTTTTGGGAGGAGTCGGGAGCACATTATTTTTGTAGCTTGAAGATGATTGAAGTGGATATTATTGTTGCCATTTTCTTTTGCTTCAATATATAACCTTTGGTTGGGAGCCACTAAAATCTTGCCCTAATCCAACAATTCATCAATTTCTCGCGAGTTCATAGCCAAACAACTCCCACGAAGGACATTTTTCCTATTTCATTTCCTCACAACAGGTTTGAAAAAGACAAGTCGCGGAAAATAGAAATGGTACTGGTATGTTTAAAAAATGGTGGAATGATGTGGAATGTGTAACCACAAATAAAAGGCAAATGGTGCTTGCGGGAGTGTTCGTTACCCTTTTTCCATTTATTGATGATTTTCACTTCGAGCGCAAGGATTTAAACAGCCACATGTATCAACTTTGACAGGAGTGGAGTTGTTTTTGAATCGTTGATGAACCTCCAGAAAGGCCCTAATGCACGACCTGAGATGTGACGCCTGTGTTCCATGGGGGGTATAGCCCACGAATCTATGTGGCTTATCTTCATGGTTGTTACACTTACAATGCCTGGGATGCGCATCCAAGTTCATGGTGGTTCATTGATGTTCATTGATGTTCAGTGTGGTCTACAATCGAAAAAAATGTGATCTTGGTCAGCATTCAAACATGTGGTGACTTTGGAGTTATGACTTTGCCACCCGGAAGTCATTAGAAAGCTCTTTACGGGTCGTGTTTCATGGCGGGTCCCTCGTGGTGTCCCAGGACCCGGATGATCCGCAAAAAGCGGGGGTTGAGAAAAACGGGGTACCGAGGAATGCCGAGGAATATGAATGGTTGATATTGTTTGACTCTCATAGAATTGCTAGGTCCATGGCTGAAAAATGGGGTTCTAATGAAGTTGATTTTCATGATTTTTGCATACGGAACCACAATAAAAAACTTCACCATTGACAGTACAAATTCGCCAAGTTAGAGTCCTGAAAACACCAAGCGTTGCTCTTTGTGTCCCATGAACTGAGCCGCATGGGCCTGCATCAGTCAGTGTGGTTTCAAATGTGCGTCCAACGGTGGCTCCAAGGATGTGGCCTCCATGATCGACCAGTGGCTTTGTCCTGGTGCAATCATCGCATGGACGAACTGCAAACAACAATTCGACGATAAGCATAATGTCAAGAAAATCAAGCGTTGCCTGAATTTCAATCATTCATCATCTACCACGACAGGGAGCCTTGGCTACCTGAGTTGCATGTACTTTAAATAGATAACCATGTATTCAGATCAGAAAGAAATCACTGATTCCTTGCTGCTTGTAAGTCTTCTCATGTCCCAACTTCATGTTGTGTGTGGGAAGCGTCAAAAGGTTTGTGTGATTTGTTGTGTGATTGGCTGCGGCGAAGAGTTGGTTTGGATATGTTTGGATCGTGTATGTGTTGGAGTCACGGGGCAGTTTGTTGATGAAATGTCTTTGTATCCAGGCAAACTTGCAGCTTTGCCTGTTTTTTTTTTTGCTGGTGGAGTTTCTATGGTACAACATTGGCTTCTCATGCTGCGCGTCGAATCGGATAGACAGATCGACGAATGTCCAAAATCTGTTTCAGCGGTCCCTAAGCCTGTCTCGGGTCAGCTCAGTTTGGATTCTGGTCTTGAACTTCCTCCCTTTCTCAAGGTTTGTGTCATTTCTTTGAATTCTGTGCGTGTGCTGTTGTAGTGGCTGTCTCGGGAAATGATGCTTTGCTGGCTAAGTTCTCGAAATTGTGAACATCATTCTGCGTGTCTAGGGATGCAGATAGACAGCCGCGTCAGTGTTGTTTTCTGCATGTATAACGATTAGGGATGATCAGGGTTCAGGATACCTCAGAGGTATGTCACCAGCAATGGGTATAGTAGCGGAAATTGGAATGTATTTTTTCTAGCCTCTGGTCATTGATTGTTGTAAATGGCCCATAATAGTTGATGTGCCGAACTTCAAAATGGTGACATCCATAGCTTTTTTGTATGTTTACCAGAGGGTAATATCGGTATGGCTCAAAACTAGGTGGGGTACCAATGGAGCCAAAAACGTGAGCAAACAACAAAACCACCCGCTTCAAAAAAATCCAGCATTTCAGGCAAGTAAATTAAATTTGGTTGTACGTTTTTGCCAAAATCGGGAAACAACTTGGTTTGTGTGACTGGTGTTTCAGATGCTATGTTCAACATATCTATACCAGGGAAATTGTAAAAAAACGACATGTTTTCTACCATCAAACACGCGGGTTTCCTGGTCAAGCAATTTTCAAAATATGTTGGGTGGATTTTTTTTGCACGAAATTAGCAAAAACATCCAGTGTCAAACATGTCCAAACTTGCCGCAGCCCTGGCCAAATTTTGCAGTGCTTCAACGATACATCCAACCTGTGACCAGCCATGCCGGCCAACTCGGAGAAACCTCACCTGTCCATCGTGATCTGCGGCCATGTCGACAGTGGCAAGAGCACCACCACCGGCCGCTTGATCTTTGAGCTGGGTGGCCTGCCTGAGCGTGATTTGGAGAAACTGAAGGCGGAAGCTGAGCGTTTGGGCAAGGGCTCTTTCGCATTTGCCTTCTTCATGGACAGACAGAAGGAGGAGCGTGAGCGTGGTGTGACCATTGCATGCACCACCAAGGAGTTCTTCACCGAGAAGTGGCACTACACCATCATCGATGCCCCAGGCCACCGTGACTTCATCAAGAACATGATTACCGGTGCCTCCCAGGCCGATGTGGCACTGATCATGGTGCCAGCTGATGGTAACTTCACCACTGCCATTGCCAAGGGCAACCACAAGGCTGGTGAGATCCAGGGACAGACTCGTCAGCACTCCCGCCTTATCAACTTGCTGGGTGTGAAGCAGATCTGCATTGGAGTGAACAAGATGGACTGCGACACTGCCGGCTACAAGCAGGCCCGGTATGACGAGGTTGCCAACGAGATGAAGAGCATGTTGGTGAAGGTTGGCTGGAAGAAGGACTTCATTGAGAAGAGCACCCCTGTGATGCCAATCTCCGGCTGGATGGGTGACAACCTGCTGAAGAAGTCTGAGAACATGGGCTGGTGGAAGGGTCAGGATGTTGAGGTTGGCAGCGAGACCATCCACGTTGACACCGTGTACGATGTGCTGGACAAGATGTGCCGTGTGCCTGAGCGTCCTGTGAGCGCCCCTATGCGCATGCCAATCTCTGGCATCTACAAGATCAAGGGTGTGGGTGATGTGCTTGCCGGACGTGTCGAGCAGGGTGTGGTGAAGCCTGGTGAGGAGGTGGTCTTCTTGCCCACTCACACTGCCTCCAACCCATGCACAGGCAAGGTCTTCACCGTGGAGATGCACCACCAGCGTGTGGACTTCGCCAACCCTGGCGACAACGTGGGCCTGAACATCAAGGGTCTTGACAAGAACAACATGCCCCGCTCTGGTGACGTGATGGTCTACAAGAAGGACACCACCCTGGGCCAGACCAAGGAGTTCGATGCTCAGATCCAGGTGCTGGACATCCCCAACGAGATCAAGGTGGGCTACTCCCCCATTGGCTTTGTGCGATGCGGTCGCGCAGCATGCCGTGTGTCCGCCCTGAAGTGGAAGATGGGCAAGGAGACTGGTGGCAAGAAGATGGAGGACCCTCACTCCCTGAAGTCCAATGAGATGGCTCAGTGCAGCTTCCAGCCACAGCAGCCATTGGTTTGCGACACCTTCAAGAACTGCGAGGGCCTCTCCCGTGTTGCCTTCATGGACGGCAACGGTGTGGTGATGCTTGGCAAGGTGGTGAGCTGCGAGCGCAAGGGCGAGGGTGATGACAAGGGTGGCAAGAAGAAGTGAACAAACTGCTAGGTGTTTGGATGCAGGGACCGACCAGTTGGATTTGGTGGAAGTGTCCCAAACGTCCGACCAGTCTCTTGATCCGGTCTCACCAAAAAAGGTGGATGGCCGTGGCTGCAGGTGTTTTGACCTTTTCTTGGACAAAAGGGTTGCAGCTGGTTGGACGAAGCTGCAACATGACTAGACTGGACTGTGGCATGATGCCTATTGTCAAGAAACGAACCCCTGAAATTGAAACCAAATTCATACATCCATTCCAACAAGGTTTCCTTTTGGGTGCGTTCATATGCGAAAGGGATTCATTAGGATTTCCAACTGTAGCATTAGGGATTGGTGGAGCAGTGCAACGTCCATTTTGGATTGAACACAACATTTTCCCCAAAATCCGGTGGAACAAGGGACCAACGGTTGAGCCACATCTACTTTCTTTTTTTGAAAGCTGAAAGACACTGTTGCTGCTCTGTCAGCTGAGCTTTCTGTTGCTGCACTTGTCACAATCATTCACAATCCATGAAATCTTCGTTACGCAGCCCTGGCCAGTTTTGCAGTGCTCAAATAAAGTTCTCCAATAGAACTATCTCGTAACAGCCATGCCGGCCAACTCGGAGAAGCCTCACCTGTCCATCGTGATCTGCGGCCATGTCGACAGTGGCAAGAGCACCACCACCGGCCGCTTGATCTTTGAGCTGGGTGGCCTGCCTGAGCGTGATTTGGAGAAACTGAAG